GAGTTCGATGAAAATTGTTTGACTTTGTTTGGTAATTGGGGGAATCGGGACTGTGGTGCATCGAGGTGTCATGGTCGTCGCCCGGTGGAGAGGGAAATCAAAGGTTTTGGATTCCGTTGGAGGAAGTAGCCGGGCGGAGGGTGAGGTTTACCCACCCCTGGTTGTCCGGTCGAGGTGAGTGTCCGATGGGAAGCTGAAGGAAAGAGGTTGGGTAGGGAAGAAGTTTTATTTATTTTTATATATAACTATAATTAGGTGGAAATAATAAAATATTATTTTTTATTTGCCACATCACTCATTTAACGATCAACTCTAAGAGTTGACTGCCACATCAGAAAAAGTTAACGGAGAGTGACCAACCTTGAATTGTTGAACAAATTTTAGTGACCGGGAATGGAATAAAGTAATTTTAGTGGAAAATGTGAAATGTTTTAGTAATTCTAGTGACCAAACTTGCAATTTAGCTAACATGCTACTTAATGCGTGTTTGGTCATGAGTTCAATTCCTACTGACCCCATTATTTTCCTTTACAAATGCAAATGTTGATGCTGCGAATTTCCTTTCGCGAGGAGAGGGGGAGGGGAGAGACCGGATTGGATGATTCTAGATGGCGGTCGGTTAATTGGGGGTAGGAATTAGCATAAGCAAAAGCTTTCCAACGGGCAATGCCAGCTAATGAACACCCATGGCTTTAAACCGGCGCTGATGGAGACCGATTGCCAAACACTGGTCCATAAATTGAACCAAGAGGAATCATCGCGGTTAGAGATTGGTGGGGTATGTGATGAAATAAGGGAACTTTTAGAACAAAATGGGGGAGATAACTTGGCAATTCTAAGGAAGAGTAGGAAATGAAGTGGCACGCCAATTGGCTCGTATGGAATGTAGATCGATAGGGATGTCAATTCATATCCACTCCGGTTGAATTTTTCAAACCCATAATGGAATGGGGCGGATCTCGACCGACCCTCGTTTAAAATGAGCGCGACATGGGTATTAGTGATAACCCGCCCTGGCCTGCCCCACTCTGCCGAGTCCACTTACCACATGTGATGAGGAGACGACTACGAGTTACCCTCAATTCTTTCTTCCTATTTCTCTTTTCCTAGTTCTCAAACTCGTCCCATTTCACCTCTTAATTTCAATTCCATCACTTGCATGTAAAAATTCATCTATTTTTGTTGGTATTTTGGATTTTGAAGTTCGTCATTTTAGAGGAGTACGGGCAGGTTGGATTTTACCCGCCCGTGCGGGGCAATGATTGGAGCGAAAAATGTCGACCCGCCATGGGACGTGGGGTAAGGCGGGTCAAAAATTATAAGGTGGGACGGGGAATGAATTTAACACTACCCACCACAAGGGACCGGTAAGGGTAAATTGGGTATGAAAAATAAATTGTATTAATTAATTTTTTAATAAAATATATTTTAGGTAGTTATAAGAATCTATTAATTACAATTTTCTCTCTTTCTCTCACTTCCATAATCTCCAGCCAAATCCATTTTCCTTATTTTTCTCAATCTTTCTGCAAAAGAAAAAAACACGAAATCACTACCAATCCATTAGACACCACTACCACTTTGAAAAACATCAATACCATTGCAGAAATAAATCTATACCATTACACGAAAACTACCAATATAAATCTATACCATTTCACAAAAAATCAATACCAATGTGACAAAAACAATACCATTGAGACGAGAGGGTCGGAGATAAAATCACTACCAATGCAGTAAAACAATACCAATACGAAAAACACTACCACTACGAAGAAATCACTACCAATGCGGAAAAAACAGATCTAGCATTTTTATTCATACCACCTTTTTCAGCCACTACCGTCCACCATAGTCGTCTAAGAGAGAGAGGGGGGAGAGAGAAAGAAGGGGGGAGAGAGAGAAGGGGGCTGGGGTGAGGGGAGAAGGACAGGTTGTGGTGGGTGTGGAGGGAAGGAGATGGGGAATGGGGAATGGGGTGGAGAGGTGGAGTGGGGTGGCCGGTGGAGAAGGGAGGAAGGGAAGGGAGGGGTAGAGTGGCGGCGGGAAGAGTGTGATGAGGGTGGGGAGAGGAGGGAATTAGGGGGGTGAAGAGGTGGCAGTAGAGTTAGGGAGGAAGGAGCGAGAGAGGTAGTGGGGTACCGGCGGTGGGATGTGGCGGAAGGGAGGAGAGAGGGAAGGAGTGGCCGCCGGATGTGGGTTGAGGTGGGGTGCGGTAGAGAGACGGCAGTATGGTGGAAGGGTGGGAGAAGGACTTGTGGTGGGGATTGAATTAGGGTTTACATAGAATATATAGAATAATCGGATGTGATCTTTTTTTATTTTCAAATTTACCCTAAAGTAAGATTAACCATAAGATTAAAAAAAGTGGAAAAAGTAAAAAATGAATGGCAGATACTGATGTAGCCACGGTGGCTACCAAAATTCTGGTAACCACCCTAACGCATTCCCCCACCACAAGCATGACCCTTTGCCATTCCTATATGGAAAGAGATGGAGTTCATAACCTGCCAATCTTTATTATTGGAATTACTAGCGGATTGTAATGGATAAGGTACCAATTAAATGAAATCAAATGGTTTATAAAGAATAAAAAAAGACTATCGCTTTTCGAGTTTCTCATAAATCATTTAACTCATTGATCATTAACAACTTGGTATTCACGTTTGATGCCTCCATTTGCTGTCTCTCTAACTTGCTTTTGTTGCTTTTGGTTGAGTTTGGAAGGAGCTCGGTTATGAGACTGACTATGAATAATGTCAGATCGTGCTAACATTGTCGAGATCAAGATCCAATGGTTGTTGGATCTTGGTCTCAATGGTGTCAGCACAATATGAACGGATATGAAGTCAGTCTCTTATCCATATTTGTTTGGCAGAGGTTGAAGCTGTAATTTTTCAAACCTTCTATCGATTTCTCTTTGCCTACTTTCCATCCTCCTCCATTCTTTATTGCTTCTCTTGCACCTACACCACTAATGAAGTTGTTGGATTCTTTTGTTTCTTCAATAACATTATCACCTTCACTAAAAATAATGAAAATACTACTAACCAATGGACTGCCAGTAGAATTAGTGCACCAAACCATGAAAGTACATGAGGTTGAGGCTGATGCAGTAAATGCTAACATGATCAGTTTCATAAAATAATCTATGAAGTAAAACTCATCAAACATGTCATACCCTTCGTTGTAAGTTTATCCTCCAACTTTACCACTGGACCAACCCTTTGGGGGGTTCTCATTGTAAGTTTTTATGACTCATAATTATTTTATTATTTATAATTTTTATTTTATCCAGGAAAACCCACCCACCATCTGCCATCCCCCACGTAATCCACCCTTAATTCAAACTGTACCCTACCTCTTGTTGTAAGTTTGTGTGGCTCATAATTATTTTAATATTTGTAATTTTTATTTGATCCATCAAATATTAAAAAACGCATACCCACCGCCATCACCCACCCATTGCCCATCTCTAATTGGGGATTGATTTGCCCTATAGAGGTGGTAATGTATGTAGTTGTACTACGATGCATGAAAAAAATTCATTTGCAATCATCTAACAGAGTTATAGATTAATTGACCCAGTTCCTACGTATGCATCAAAAAGTGCTAGGTTGAAAAAAAGCAAAATCACTTTTAACTTGTTTTCTTCTTCGTTCGATCACTCTTATTAAGAGGAAAAGAACAAGGTCTAGATCGAGTTACATATGAACCTCTATCTACTATTAAATTAGGAAACGAAGTTAAACTACACTAACAAACGAGATGACAAAAACAGAGTATGACGAGCCACCAAATGAGTAGGGCTTGGAATTGGTGTGGTTGCGATTAACCGCGCCGAAATTTGCGGTTACTTACAACCTCAAACAGTCCATATTCGCCAACCGCTACCGCAAAGCTTGCGGTTTGTGGTTAACAACAATGTGTGGTTAAAGTTTAACCGCTGTTAGCAGCTTCTTGGTGCTGCTAGTCGATGGGAGTTTGGAGTTGAGAAGAAGAGGCCCCACCTGAGCCGGAGTTGCCAACAGAATAAGAGGAAATGAGGCAGAGTGGTGGTCACTGAAGGATTCCCGACCGACGCATCCTTCTTCTCCGGCGCAGGCGACAAATTAGCTTGGAGATGAAGTGACGAACGGAAAGCTAATTTGTAGAGGAGGAATGAAGAACGACAAATTAGCTTGCGACGACGACTACGAGTTAGGATTTACATTCAGGTTTTGGTCTTTCGGAATTTGGACGAGTGACGAATAAGTAGAGGACGAGTGACTGAGGGAGGAGGGTCGAGGTGGTGGGCTGGGTCCGCCGCTGAAAGCCTGGGATGAAGTGGGGGAAGGGTTGTGGGCTGGGCTGGTGGGTATGAGCTAATTCGCTTAGTCTTCGGTTAGGATGAATTCGGTTTCGGTTGCGGTTACATCGCAAAAGAGGAGACATTAGAAACCGCTACCGCAAAATAGATTATTCTTTCGGTGTGGTTAACCGCAAACCGCGCGGTTTCGACAATCACAACCAATGAACCGAAGGTTAAACGCCAATAAAGAACAAAACTCGCGTTCTTTTGATTTAAGATCCACAATTTAATACAATATGGGAGAAGTGCCTTCCAATTAGGGCTGGGAAACGGTGCGGTTATGGTTAACCGCACCACAACTCGCGGTTAACAGTTTAACCACAAAACCGACACCGAATTTCCACCCCTACTTCCAATCGCACTCAATTGAGCCCACCTATATCAACATCTTCATCGTCAAAAGCCACCAATTGATCCACACTCTTTTCACCTTGACGTAGTCCCCGAGAAGAAGAGAAATACCCAGAAGGAGTACCGTCAACAAGAATCGAAAAGGAGGTCGAACAAACACATTCCTTAACCCAATAAATCCATTATGCAGAGAAGCCCAGCTTCCGAAGAATTGCAAAAAGATAAGACCATTCAATTGATCCACATTCTTTTAGTTCAACCTGGTTAACCAGATGGGCTTGTAGCCCAATGACGTGTCCAATACCAGCAGAGCAGGCCTTTTCTCTAACCGAAAGGAACAAAGAAACTTAAAATAATCCTTTCTTTTTTTCCTTTTCCAGACTTGGGGGTTCTAAATACTCAAAATCCAGATTCTCCTATCGACCCAGTAACCGTTCTCAAACCCTAAACGCAGAAATCGCAGAATCGCTCTCCCAAGGTTAGTTGTCGATCCGCCGGAGCTCTCGCCTCTTCTCTTTTCTTGTGCGATTGTTTCTCAAGTTGCGTATTCGCTTGTTTACTGGCAGTGGCAGGTAAGTTTTGATTGATTGTGTTGCGCCGGCCAGCCATCATGTTGAATTCTGGGGAGCCGGAGCTCTTTGCTGATCAAGGTTTGTCTATCTACGTTTCCCCTTTGATTCCGCCATATATATTTGACGATACACAATTCCTTGATCCAAATTCGTTCGCGAGGATAGAGAATCTAGCTAGCTAGTTCGTGGTTTAGGGTCTTTGCTCGTTGAATAATAATGTCTTAGTTGGGATATAGGGAGTAGGCGATCAGTTCAGCGGTGTATTGGGTTCCGATTGTTTGTTTGTTATTTACTTATTTTACTGTCCTTTTCCGTCCACCGTTGCATTTTGGTTTTCTGACTCCAAACTTTTGATGCAGAGGCCGCCAGGACGTCAGTGGAGGAAGAACTGGCTCGGGATATGGTGATGATGGCACAATTTGAGGAGCAGATGAGGCAATGGGAAAGAGAGCGGCGAGAGAGGAGGTTGAGGGATCCTCAGTGCTTCGGGCCAGAAGCAGTGGATCGTACCGCTGCTTGGCTTCGTGCTGGTCTTGCTAGCGCCCAAGGTGCTGATGATGATTGGTTTAGATATAGTGAGCAGCATTGTGAATCGTGTTTTGTTGTGAATCGTGTTTTGTTAATTTGCATGCCGTCTTCCTCTGTCCTTTGTATTTTTGTTTTCTGACCAAAAAACTTTGGTGCAGCGGCTGGGAGTTCAAGGGAGAAAGAAATAGCTGAGCTACAGGAGATGCTGGACATGATCCCCAGGTGGAGGAGTCGCGAAGAGGAAGAGGAAAGGAGGTTGAAGGAGGAGGCTCAATTGGGGCTGGCCAGAGCGATGGATGTTGCTGCTGCTCCAGCCCATGGAGAGGTTGAAGAGGAAAGGAGGTCGAGGAGGCTCGATTGAGGACAAGAGCAGTGGATGTCGCTGCTGCTGCTCCGGCCCATGGAGAGGTGAAAGCGAAAAGGTCGAAGAAGGTTTGATTGGGACTGATTGATGTTATACCATGGTCTCTGTCAGCTGTTGGACTCAACTTTGTTGCTTCTTTTCATTTGTCACAATGTGCCTTTGTGATATTAGCTTGTCTATCTTATTCTGCTCTTTATTTCCTTATGGATTTATTGGTGGTGTGATGATGGTTTCTACTGATGTGCTCCTATTAAAGTAATGACGTGTTTTGGAATTGACAAGTTGATATTAGACTGCATGCTGATACATTTGACGATGGATGATTAATTTGATATTTTCATTGATGTTGATGATATGAACTAGAGTATGTGATTTCTTATAAAACATTGGAATGATCGTGATTAGGTAAATGGAGAAGATTTGAAGTTGATAAATGTTGCATGCATGTTGCTCTAGAATCTTCATGATAACTGCATACCTAATCTCCACGAATCGAGGTGCTCGAGCCAAACAAACTTCCCCATTGATAACCCGACCCGCCATTGGCGGTTATTCGGCCATAAAAAATCGGTGGCGGTGTCGCTTGGAGAATTTGGGATTATTTGTTGATCGTCGGTGGTCGGTTGCTAACTGTGGGTGGTCGATCGCTAACCGTGAATCGCAAAGCTTGAAATCTCGGCACTCCACTTCACGGCTCCGCCCATTACTTTGTTAGATTTGAACCTCGCCGCATCAACTCCTTCCTCTATCCCTTCCTGCCTTATTCAGCCTCGGAGGTCGAGGAGAACTAGGTTAGCGAGATCTCGGTCGTCGCTCCCGCTTCACCTTTCGTCGCCTATCTCCACTCCCATCACTCGCCACCAACGCATCGTACTCTGACCACAGAAAATCAGCTGCAGATCTCAGTTTTGCAAATCGACAAACTCGCAGCCGACAATCGCTTGGGCTTCGTCGAGGATGATGAAGGCGGAGTGACGGTGCAGGATTTGCTGGTAATCTCTTCTTCGTCAGTCGTCCCAGGTCGTCCTCTGTCCTTGGCCTCCTTGTTTCTCCCAACTCGTAAAAACCCAAGTGATAGAAGATTGCATGAGGTGAGTGGATTTAGTTAGTCGATCGGGGATTGAGAAGACCTCCGATCTTTGTCACTGCATCTCCACTGCCTTAAACATTGAGTAATCGGAGATTGCATGAGAGGATTTAGGTTTTAATTTGGAAATTTTGAGAGAGAAGAAGAGATACAAGATTGGGACCGGGAAACTTCGAGAGATTAAAAGAGAGAAACAAAAGTCCCTTGTTTTATTTATTTTGGTCGGGATCGGTTTGCCGATTAACCGCGCCGTTGGCTAGCGGTTTTGGTGGCGGGTTAACCGACCTTATTAACGGCCCTACCCATAGTTTTAAAAGAGACTTGTCATTCGACCCCTACCGAAGCCCTAGAATTCGGGTTCCCCTGAAGAACAACCTAGTCAAACTCATCAACTTAATGTCTTCATTGTGCCACCGATATCTCCAGTCTCATCTGCACTTTGTTAAAGAACAGTGTTGTCAAAACCGAACCGGACATCGGTCCGGATTAGCGAGAGGTTTAAGGTTTATTGGATAACCGGAAATTAACCGGTATTAAGAACCGGTCATAAACCGTCGCTTCACTCTAGATCAAAAGAAAAAAGAATGATTTTATCATTAAAAAAAGAAAGAAGAATTAGAGTGAGAAGGAAACAAAGTTAAAAATGACGAGTCAAATAAATGAAATAATAGGTGGCTGCAGAGAGGAGTCAATTTTTCCTTTTTCTGTTGCCTTGATTCCTTTTTGTTTAATTGTTAATTGAAAGAAAGCAAAAAGGGAAGGTAGGGCAGGCGCATGTTTAGTTTTTTATTGGAAAAATAATAAAACAAGGTGAGCGAACAAGGCCGCCCGTTTTCATCTGTTCCGGGGCCGGATTTGTGGTCGGGTCCGGTTTTATCTGGTTGGACCGGCCGGTCCGGCCCGGTTTTCATAACAATGTTAAAGAACACACCAACCCCTTAACCATACTAACTTGTTTAACAACCATTAGATTAAAATGGTAATCCTAAGGTCATAATTAGTTAACGGGTTGTTTGGATGCAGTATTTTGATGAGGTATTTCGATCGAAATAACTCAAAATGAGTTTTTTTATAGATAATGGCGAATTCAATTAAATAAAAACCGAAGTAGAGTACTTACATACACAGCAAGGGAGGCAACAAAGTCTTATCATGAATGAGACTAGGGACCCTTGAAAACAAAAGAAGAGCCCAACTAATAGACAAAAATAGAATGGTGAAATAAATCGTTGGGCAAAAATAGAATTGAATGTGGTATTTGTGGTATTTTATAGAACAATTGAAATAATTCATTGTGAGTTATTTGAAATACCTACCCACTCCTTAGTTATTTCAAATAACTCATCTCTCAACTTATTTTTCCACTTCATCTCTTCTTTAAGTGGTGAAATATCACAATATTTAAATGTTTTATCCAAACAAGATAATTAGACCAATTACCACATTCTAAACTGAAATATCACATAAAATGTCACACAACAAAATAATGCAACATCTTTGTTTTCCCCACAAGAAAAAACCGAGTGGAACATAATGAAATTCGCACCTTTGACTTCTTAACAAACGATGAAACAAACGTCCACACCTCTTTGAACAAAGTTCAAACACGGGTGTTTGATGTTCTTGATGATGTACGAGAGAAATCTAAATTACATTAAATCTACTCCTATGGAGGTTTAGTGAGAGCTCCTGAACTACAACTATGGCTAAATTTGCAGAGGAAAAGATAAAAGGATAAATGTTGACATTGGGTTGTCTTGTATGAATTTGGTGAACCTTTTCCTTGTCATCTTCACCTCCTATTTATAGCCACAAGAAGTAACTGCCTTCAAAAACTGCTCTGCTGACATGGAGCAACAGTTACCCTCCCAACTGCTCTGGCGATGTCCTAACGTCGAATGTGCCATCCTCTTCAGCCTTGACCCCTTCCTCTTGATAGCTCCTCCTTAGCTTTGCTTTTCAGTTGAGAAAAATGACGAAGGCGTGAAGATCCCCTTGCCACATGAGGGTGGGTACTTTTTTTTTTGCAAAAGATAATCATATATTGATTGAACAAATAGATAGTTACATCCTTGAATTCAGTCATCCTCGAATCGCACATGTCAAAATTAACATGCACCCACCACCACATCAGGGGCCCTCCTCTCCTTGGAGATAATTTGGTCAACTATCTCCAGACTTGACCAAACTTCACCCAAGATGATCACCCCCTGATCATACATATCTTGGTGGTCTCCCTGACAACCTCATGGGGGTGATGTTGATCACGCCCCCGAGCCCTGGCCATACCATGGGGGGTTATGTTGGTAGAATAGGGACCTACTCACCTTGGTCAAATTCGGCCATTCATCATTCTTTAACCGAACTCACGTCATCACTCAACCATACCGCCCTCCTCATATTCTCCATACTTATCCATATTTTACTCTATGGTATTGCATTCCATGGGGGTCGTATGTTGGTGACAACCCCTTGGTTATACCATAGAGGCACTATATCGATCACGCCACCACCACATCATGGGAGTGGTAGTATGGTGGCCACCCCCCTCGGCACATCATGGGGGTGGCGGTATGTCGACCCCCTACCACGTCATGGGGGTGGTGGTATGTTGACCCCCCACCACGTCATGGGGGTGACTCCAGCACTTAACCAAATTTGGGAATAGATGACTAGAGTGACGCATAATGGTATGAGGTTATGGGCCCAAAAATCCAATCCACGTGGCCACTTAATTGATTTAAGTTGTTATAATTAAGTTGGCTTTGTAAAACCATTTAATCACTTGTATTTAACCGAGGTGGTACAAGGTTAATTTTAGTGTAAAAAATTTTGATTTGAATTAGGAAAAATACACTTGTATAGCCAAAACTTTCGTGTTTGTGCCAATAATAGCCAAATTTGGAGAGTTACTGACATGACAAGCTCTTATCTCGACTTTCGTTTGTAAATATCCACTTGGATTTAGAAAATGAAAAAAATACAAGATAAAAATTGAAAAGCCCTCATCGACCTTTCCCCTTCCCCTCAGCTGATGAGCAGTAGCGTCGGCGAATTACGTCAGAATTCCTGGGGAGTGGAGATCGATTTCAATTCCGCGATCTCCATCCACTCATCCTGATCGCTCTTCTTCAACTTCTTGGAGAAGCTCCTCCCAGCCGTTGCGGAATCCAAAGCAACTTCGTCAAATCCTCCGTCTGATCTCTTGTGGTTCCTCGAAGAAGAATCCTCTCTCTCTCTCTCTCTCTAGCTTTTCGAAAATGCCAATCTATGAACCCTAATCTCTGTGCCAATAAATTTGGGTTTGTTAAAGATAGTGGAGAAATTGGTTATGGGGGTTTAAGAATCTGGATGGGGTTTCCATTATAGCGAGCTTGTAGAGAGGGATTAGGGAAGATGGAATGACATACAATTTTTTTTAATCTAAAATGTGACATGGTGCCACGAGGCATGGCAAGATCTATGTGGACATGATGTGTCGAGGTGGCAGCCACATAAGCCTAACGTCCATTTCACTGACGGAATAGTTGACAGTGTTAAAGTATTTGATGGAAATGACTAAATTAGTCCAATAAGTTTTAAAATATGGTTATAAGTGGTATTTCTCCAAATTTGGCTATTATTGGCACAAACGCCGAAGTTTTGGCTATACAAATGTATTTTTCCTTTGAAATAGCATAAAACCAAAATGATGCATCCAAACAACCCGTAAAGGATATTTCAGTATGTTGTTTTAACCCTAATATATAAACTCTCCTACCGGCTACCATCATTCGCCGCTCATAACCCGTAAAGGATATTTCAGTATTATTGTTTTAAAAAGTTAAAAGTACCAAATGTAAGAAATAAAAATTTCATGTACTAAAATATAATTTTCCATCGATATTTTTAGGACTCGAATGTACAAAAAATTAGGTACTAAATATTAATATATATTAAATTCAGGTACAAAAACTGTAATTTGTAAATGGAACACTACAAAATCAACGTAGAAGAAAGGGAGGGGAAGGGGAAAGGAAAATGCCGAAAGGAAAAAGGGTAGTTACTATATTACGCTTAGTAAAAGTGTTAGCACCATATTCGATCTCATGTAGTGGTGTGGTGTAAATTCTTTCTTCAACTAAATGTACATGTAAAATACAATTGAAACTTCATTAAAGATAGAAAATTAAATTTCTCATTTAATCAATAAATTCAAGGCAGAGAAATGCATTTTGCAATCAAACAAGCAATTAATAAAATCCTTCACAAATTCAATAGAGCAAATCCAACATAATCCTACAATCCCAGAATCCAAAATTTTACCTAAA